GTCTTCCTATGATATAGGTGTGAGTATTAGAAGGAAAACATAATTCGCTAGAGTGAGGTGTGTTTGTAGGACCCTGCGTTAACTTTATCTTTAGTTCCCTTTCCACGGGACATGAGCTCTGGCTACTTTTTCAGTGGACCCTCTGTCTGAATTTTGGATTTTTAAAAAATCTGAAACCAGATGAATTTACCCTGGCCTCTGCATTTCAGACGGGAAAATGCCATTATCAGTTGATAGCTCTCTCCAAGATCTTTGATGCTGAGACCTCCTGGGGACCCTATACAGACTCCTACCATGACTGAAAACCACATTCCCCCTGCTCTTTATTTTCTCCCCAAAATTTCTGCCTGTATTCACCACTGATTATGTTGCAGCTTCCAGGAGGATAAGTAGATGATGATGCACAGACAAACTAAGCAATACACAAGGACTGTAGACAATCTGCTTTCTCCAGCCCCTGTACCTGTTTCCCTCTAGCTCACACACGTATTTCACCACTGGAGTCCAGTCAAATGCTTCTGGCTCATTCTTCAGCCATTTCTCCAGTTCCCGGAGGTTCCAATCTGTATAGTCTGAAGCAATGATCTCCTTAAAGGACTCGCAGGCGGAGAGGAGCTGGTGGATGGTGGGGCCACTGCCAATATCAATCAGGGTGTCGCCTTTCACCACACCTGTTTCACAATAAAGAATTCCTGGAGCTCATTGCATCTTAATCAGACAAAATGCAACTTCGTCTCAATTAAACTTAGTTGATTTAGTTTAATACGTCTAGCGTTAATCTTGCTTCCATTGAAGACAATGGCCAAACGCCTGGTGACTTCAGTGTTACAAAGCGTTGGCTGCAAGTCCTCAATGCTTCTTGACATGCAAATTAGCATCAGATACCCTTTTTATTGCACTTAGATTTCGATTCAGTTTTAGTTTTTCTGTAATGTAAGATCCTCTAAGTTTATTACCAGTCCCCATGAGCCAAGCAATTCCCCCTTACAAGTTACTGAACTGAAGGACAATCCCCACGATTATGTATGTATCTATATGGTTACACCAATAGTTAATACTAGAAAAATACAGTATGATGCAATATCTCTGGCCCTTGCAATCCAACAGCTTTGTAAACAGAATTTAAATTTGCATCACATCTACTTCGTAGTAAGGGATGCAAGCAAGTATATTCAAAAATTTAACTGCAGGGGTGATTTTTGAACAGAGTTGGAGCTCTTCATAAAAGACCTCATTTCCGCTCCCAGGAGAAGGCTACGGGGAAATTTGCTAGATAATAATGAATAATAACTAACTTTTCTGTCTAGTGCTTTACATTTGTACAGCTCCAAGCGCTTTGGACCGGAACACTAATGTCATTATCCCTGTTTTACAAATGAGGCACAGAGCAATGATGTGACTTGCCCGGGGTCAATGGGAAGGTCAGTGTCAGGCTTGAGAACAGAACTCAGGTGTCCTGAGTCTCAGTCCAGGGCCGTAGTGCATGGATGCTTGCAGAAAGGGGAGGATGGGAAAAGCTTTCTGAGGACCTGTGGTACTTCCAAAGGCTGAACAATAATATTTAGCCTATTTAATGGGCTTTTTATCTAGACACACTAGCTGACGGGTCCTCAGCCCCCCTGTGACGCAAGGTGAGTGTTGATGAACTGCCCTAGCATGTTTCTTGCACATCAGATAGGCGTGACCATGGAAACCAAATAACTAATGCATATTACAGGATACTTCACCACAACCCAGGCCAAAAGGTGCCATGACAATAACCTGGTTTCTAATGTCACCGACAAGCATAGACGCGGGAATCAGGGGTGTGGGAGGTGTTGCAGCAGCCTCAGATTTTACGCTGGGCTCTGCTCCCGGCCCTGCACATGGAGTCGCAGCCGCCGGACCCACACCGGGGCTCTGCTTCTGGCTCCCAGCAGGCTCCCGGCACGCGCCTGGGTTCCCAGCTGCCAGCCCCAGCCTCGTTCCCCTTACCCTTTTCGGGTCCACCCCTCCTGGAGACACGGCTCTGCTCCCAGCCCCAGCTCTTGGGTGGGGCATGGACTGGGGAAGGGGGCTCCTTTCAACTCCCCCACTATTAAAAATGTTCCAGCGCCACGGCAGAGAAGAATAGACAAGCCAGGGATGAGTCCCAGATCCCACCAACAGGCCATACCTGAAGTGAAGGTTTTACAATAGTGTTTCAGGGCAAAGTTAAGATATTTCTCTCCCAAGGTGTCTTCTCCAAATTTAAAATATCCGAGATAGGCCTTTGGATCAAACTCTGCCTGGTAATCGTCTCCTCCGGTGAACTGAGCCATGGTGCTCGCTCCGAGTCTGCACATAAACTGTGCTGGTTTTCCTAGGGTCCCCTACCCACAGTGAGCTGCCCCTAGTGACGCACTCTCTGAACTCTGCCTTTTAACACTTTCATGTGTCTGCAAGAAGAGTGCAGCTGTGGAACTCAGCCCCTACGGTCTTTAACGTTAGATGTACAACTTGCTGTTGCTTAAAATCTTTTTTTCTTACTCTCATTTGCTTTTCACAACTCCAGGGCAGATTACAGGTCCCGAACGGAATCCCAGGCTGGAAGCTGATATAAAGTTCTATAAATAGTTCATAGATTAGGCAGCCTCTGCCCTTCTAGAGCTCAAAAGCAGATACTTGCATATTGAGGGGGCTCTGAGATTAGGCCAAGGTCCTGTCACAGACTACAGGCTCCCACGGAGACGCTGCTATCATTTTTGGTGATGCGTGATGGATCCCCAAGAATGCATCTGCCAAATGCACAGTAATGGTATCTGCGACATCTTTTCACCTGTTTTAGCTGTATTCTGCAATGGTGGGAGGTGTACATTGGCTGTAATTTTCCCCTTTTGGGGAGCGAAAAAGTGTAGTGGTATTTCACTCAACTTTCCTTTTACATTCAGCATTGAGACTCTGCTTTAGAGGGTTTTCAGGAGAGAATTTAGATCCTTTCATTTGTGTCCCTTAAGAGAAGAGAGGACTGACTCAGGGTCTGTCTACACAGGGATAAAAGACCTGCGGCATGGCCGGGGCTGCTCTGGTTCCAGAGCTCGGGCTCCAGTCCAAGCCCAAATGTCTATGCAGCAATTTTTCAGCCCGGAAACCAATCCCCATGAGCCCTGGTCAGCTGACCTGGGCCAGCCTCAGGATTTTTATCCCTGTGTAGACATAGTGATATAGTTTAAATCCAGATGTATTAACCTGTAAATCTCCTTCTGCAAAGGCAATAGTAAGACCAGGAACCACAGACTATTGTATACGGGAAACAGATCTTTATTAGGCAAGCACTGACTGGGTGGAAATTACAATTATTCACCAAATCAAATCATTCAACCAACACCATGGCCCAATGCAGCTGTCAGGCCCCAGCCAATCAGTTCAAACGGTTCAATGTTAAAATCACAGCGAGGTTATAGCCAGTATTGAGGACGATGTGTACAGTGTGAGCCATGCTCTCAATGCCGGGAGACAAGACTCCCACGTAGGCAGGATGGCTGCCCCAAGGAGTTTACAGTCTAATGCAGATGCATAGAAAGGCACAAAGCTAAACACGTGACATGGGAGCGAGTTGCAAAATTTGGGGTTAGAAAGGAGTAGCTCAACCCATTATCAAATGGAGCTATTTGCAGAATTTGAATCAAGAGGCAGGTCAGGGGCAGAACCTCTGTTCCTAAAAGTCTGGGGTGGGTGGGCCTGTAGATGTGTTTTGATCCTCTTTCTAAACCTCATACATCGATAATTCCAAACCCAGCACTTATTGGGCCCAGTCCTGCACCACTGAAGCCAATGGGAGTTTTGCCACTGACTACTGGGAGCAGGCCCCAGTCCATTAGCAGTGAGAAGAGCTTTATATGATTCATTATGTAATTATTATTAACTGCACAGCTGCAGCATGGGCTAGGCAAAACATGGCAAGAGCAGGGAGAGGATGAAGAAGCCCAGTGCATTGCAGCTAGACTGGATGAAGCACAGTGGGGTTGGAGGCCAGGGAGACATTATGGCAGCTCTGAGTGGGAAAGGACCGGGATGAGGGCACCTTTAGTGGCACAACAAGGGGTTCAAGCTAGTGCATCCTGAACAAACAGGTTCTCCAACG